CTAATGGTAACTTTTAACAGCAATTTCAGTTCGTGAATTGGAAGAAATATTTCTAGCACTCCACACTTGTATACTTTAATCTAAGCTCACGTGTTCTTTGATCTACAACATGGATCCTTAGTACGTCTCAGCTCCTTTCACTGTCCAGGAGGCTCCCGAGAGGAAGACTTAGATGAATGGGGTAGCAAAATGAAGGCAAACTTAAGATAAGCATATTTTTCAGCTCCAGCCCAAGAAGGAAACCTCTTCTTCCTCTCTGGGAGATCGGCGCGAAAAAAAATCCACAATTTCCCCATCAAATCGAGCCATTTGTGCCGGACTTCGAGGCACGTCTGGCTTTCGTCCAGTGCCTGTGACCACTGTTTGTTGCGCCTACCAACTAATTTGCATTTGAAATTGAAAACCTTGCAAGGGTGACAATTAGCACTTACACGACGGGTGAAAGGGTAGAAATGACCCGTTAACTAGGCTCCTCGCCCCACCACGCCAAGGGAGTAATATGACGCTCGCGGCTATGTGAGGGATCGCGTGTTCACTCCCTTGACGTGGTGGGGCGAGGAGCCTAGTTAACGGGTTATTTCTGCCCTTGCACCCGTCGCGTAAGTGCTAATTGTCACCCTAGCAAGGTTTCCAATTTCAAATGCAAATTAGTTGGTAGGCGCAACAGTGGTCACAGGCACTGGACGAAAGCCTGGACGTGCCTCGAAGTACGGCACAAATGGCTCGATTTGTTGGGGGGAATTATGGATTCTTTTTTCAAGCTGATCTCCCAGAGAGGAAGAAGAGGTTTCCTTCTTGGGCTGGAGCTGAAAATTTGCAGCGGATTTGAATTTCGGCGAAAAAAAACGACATTTTTGTTGCGACTGGTCCAGGCCCCCGACAGATCGAAGTCACCAGCCTTCACTTCGTTCTATGAAAGGAGTAACAGCGGTTACGCAATAAAGCCAAAAAAACAGTAAAACGACAAACAGACACCAAAACGCAGTGGAATAGATTGCAGGTAAGATTTTTTTATTCATTTCATTTAAGAAAAAGTAAGGTTTAGCGTTATTTAGCGTTCGCAGATCTCAGTAATATATTTCTCATACAAAGTCTCTTATATTTTCAACGGTCGCCTGTAACGCCACACCGGCGCATCACCTATGTTATGTAAATTACATTACAACCTTTTCTTGCAACGTGAGTTTGGGCCGCCTGTGGTTGAAACGCAATGAATTACTTCCCGCTTGGCCTTCGCTTAGCTTTTTGCCGACAAATCCTTGCTTATTTTGATGAATTATATTAGCAAATTCATGCTTGTTTGTCTTTAACCAACCTCGTTCCCACTGTTCTCTTCTACCCTGGTAGGAGAGAACCGGGGTAGGGTTGGTCTTTAACTCGATATTTCGATGGAAACCGAAGAAAACAAGCGTCTGTGTAAAGTAAACCACTTGAGCACGAGGGACGACGATGTATAGAATATCATTATGCTAATATATGATAATCCGATTAGCATAATCTGATAGCGTCACAAAATAAATTTGTAGAAAATTCCAAGTTGCTCTATATTTTCGAACGATTTTCGGGTTGTTTTGCTTAGATATTGAAGAAAAAACTTTGTTACTACCATATTACACAAAATAGACACATTTCCTGGCAAAATGACATTCTTCATAAATTTGAAAAAATTTTTTGGCAGAGATATGCCTTGTCAATTTTTTTGGGCGAAATATTATGGGTTTCCTGAGACTGAAATATTTTTTTTCTGAAAGTTTAATCTTTGCCCTTTCCAATGAGGTATAGCTTTATACAGAATTGTAAATATCAACAGAGATATAATTTTTTAAAGTTGCATGGTCAAAAATACTTAGAGAAGACAATCTATATATGGCTATATAGTATACATGTGTAATACACCGATTCAGCCTAAGAGCGGAAGTTGCATGAAAGGGAGGCCTAAGGGCTATCTTTCGCGGGGATCTGAAAAATCATGGCGGAAGACACCGACAGTTTGCATGGAGGACATGAATTGTCTCCTGATGTAAACCTTACACCAGAAGACATTCCATGTTCATCCGTGAAAAATGGAGAAGACATAAGTAAATGGACAATTCCACAATTGAAATTTTGGTTGAAATGCAGAAGACTGAACCAACAGGGACTGAAGAAAGATCTTGTCGAAAAGTAAGTTTCGCAGCACCTGTATTACATGAACACTGTTATCTAACCTTCCACGCTAGTCAAAAGAATTTCGTTTTGGCTAAAATCTTTTCTTTTCGGGGGCAGGGTTAAGGCATTCAACACGATTCCTTACTACAGAGAGAAAGTTTACAACCCTGATCCTGAGAGGAGCTACACGAAAGCAAAGGTTGAAAAGCTAAAGACCCTCAATATCGAAACAGTCCAGACTGAGCTGGTCGACCAACAAGCAAGCTCGTGTAGTTCGATTTTAGACACTATCCCACCGGATGAAAACACTCAATTTTCAGAGGTTTTTTCTGTTTTGCCCTTATTTGTGCCTATGGATGCTTTTGAGCAGGTACAAAATTCCGGTAAATCCGTGAAGAAATTTACCAATGCAGCAGTTGTTATAAACTCAAATGACAAAGGCCTCCGTATGGTCAATTTTGTGCGCGTTTTACAGGTGTATAATAACACGGAAAATAACATCATATACGTCCGTGCTTGCTGTTGGGCTTCCTATATGAGGAATGTTAAATACAAGGTGAAAATGGTTTGTAAACAAAGCGGGACCTCAAAGATTCTAGCAGCAAAGTGTGATAGGCAATGTCCGGCTTCCAACAGTGGGTGTTGTTGTCATGTTATGGCGCTCATATGGAAACTTGAGGACATGACGAGAAAGTCAGAGCTAAAAAATATCACTCCTGACAACAGATGCTGCACATCAAAACCGAGGAAATGGGGAAAAGGGGGTAGACGAGAAGTAGAGTTCTCTCCAGTGATGGCTTTAAAAGTAACAAAACCAAGACATGCGTCTGACTTACCTGGTAGGAAGAAAAGGAGTATTGACTCTCAGTTTTACGATCCCAGACCACTGAAATCACAGAAGCTTGATGCTGATGGAATTGTAAAGCTGAGGCAAGATCTTTAGAAAATAAATGCTCGTATACCCTTTGCTGCTATGTTACCAGAGGAAAAGACAATTCAAACAGTAATGACTATAGTTGGCACTGTTGCTAAAGGTTCAACAATTCATAAGCAACTTCAAGACTATTCCCACCAAATTTGGTAGTACCTTTTTTAGTAGTTCCTCCCTTGCTGGTAAAGAAAATGTGAATCCGGTCTCAAATGGGCAATCACTGAAATTCAAATTCAAGTTTGAATCATGAAATCTCTGCTCCACCTTCCACTGTGCAGTGTGAATCAGAAATGGCACCCGTTAGCACTCTTTCTAATGCTTATGATGAGCTACAGCTTCAGTAGATATCAGATTGCAATGTTAATAACCAACAGTAAGAACAGAATATTTCAAGTTTTATTGAAAGTACAATTGATCCATCTGAAGTACCACTGCCAACAGTCCAAACAGAAACATTGTTTATTGAAACTCTCACAGAAAAGTAAATGCAAATTGAAATGGCAACAAGAGGACAATCAATGAATCCTGCTTGGTTTGAACAATAGCAAAACAGAATAACTGCCAGTATCTGTAAAGATGTCTTTTCTCATATGCAAAAACAGGGGTCAAAATTACCAGAAAATCTAGTAAAAAAAATTACAGCAAAAGGAGCATCCCAAAAAATTGTCAGCTACTCAGAAAGGATTGATCTTTGGTATTGAAAATGAACCTGTGGCAGCTGATTTGTACAAAGAATATCTCTTGTCATTGCCAGACATCAAGGAAGTGACAGTTCAAGAGACTGGATCAATTTTAGACAAAGAAAATGATGTTCTTGCGGCAAGCCCTGACAGAATTGCAACAATAGTGTATGCCAATGGTGACATTGAATACAGAAATGTGGAAGTAAAATGTTTAGAGTCCAAGCAGGATATGTCACCAGAGACTGCAATAAATAATCATCAAAAGGAAAGCAGTTTCCCATTTATTGAACTGAACTCTGTCTTTGTAGTAAAAGAAAAGCACAAATATTGGTTTCAGTCCCAGATGCAAATGGGGGTCAGTGGAATTTCATTAACTCACTTTGTCACATTTACCAACAACACATTTCCAGTTTTGGTTCTCAAGGTCACATCATCGTCAAGGTGGGAGGACGAAATTAAGCCTAGTTTAATTGCTTTTCACGAGAAATATATCTCAAAATAAAAACATTTGTGTTTTTAGAACTGCAAAGCAACACTATTAGTTTCTTGGAAAATATAAGTTGACTCTAACAAAATGTCTGCATAAGAGTATGTTCTAAAGCACAAGGAAAGGTATTCAAGTTATACTTTACAAGTGGTGGGATGGTGGTGTTAGGGAAGGTGCAACTAGATATTTTTGTGTATTGTCTTTGATTTATTTACCGCTTTTCTATTGCCGCATCATAACAAAGGTTAGGGGACGGAAAATACTGACATTTTAGGCTATAGCTGTCCGTGAATTCACTAGATCTAAAATATTACTTTGATCGTAAATGTATTAACTGAATTGCTCTCAATGTAACAGCCATGTTTTGTCCCGGGGATTTGTCACGCCGAACTGCTAAGACTGCAAATGGTGCAGGTTTATTTGGCCCGATTACCAGCCGTCAGACAAACATTGAAATCTTTAATATAGAAGTTCAACATACACGGTAATTTTACCTTCAAAAAATTAACTCGCTTGTGTATAACTCAAGATCATAGATGTTTAGCGATTGGTGTCATCGGTTAAACTGCTGACAACGCTAGTTTTTGATTCCTTCTCTGGTTATTCACTTGTTTATCTGATAGTTCTGTTTAGGCAGAAATGTCGCTTAATTTCAGTTATAGTTGTAGTAGGGTTAGCAAATCTATCTTGCTGTTGTGATCACTGCGTGAACGTTGCGAATAAACCAGACAAAAACAATGTGAGACAAAGGACTCCTCCCTCAGGGGCTCCCTCTCTCTCGCTCCGTAGGGCGGGTAGGAGAGAACCTGGGAAGGAGGTTGCCGAGAACGGACCAGGGGCGGGGGGGAGGGGGACGAGTGTTCAATCGTGTTACACTGGTCCTTCTGTAATAAGTTCGAAGATGCTCAAGAGCAGGCACCTACGCAGAGTTCCAAACTATGATAAGTTCGTCAATGCGCAAACTACATTATGGCCTCTTTGACAATGCAGCGAACCAACGTGCACCTGGACAGTTGCAGCTGGACGACTTCACACGCCCTTCTCCCTGGGGATCACTGCATGTAGTCTTCTCTCTCTAGGCGGATGCCAGTCATATGCCATGCTGCAGAACTGACTGTAAAGTTGCGCTCAGCCGATCGGTTGTTCTATCCTATCCTCACTTAGTGTGTGCTGGGTTATTTATTACTTGAACCACACTGGTCACCCCACCCACCCTCCCAAGGCTTCATTTTTGTACGCTGTATCGCCGCACATAAGCAAGCAGAATTGTACTAGCTGGCAATGATGCTTCCTTATTTTCAGCACTAGAGTAAACTTAGTAAAACAAGACGGTCCAAGATTCCATAAATATCGACGCCGCAAGCGCTATTGTTACCGTGCAAGGACGTCCTTACTTGTGCTTTATACTGGCTTTAAACACTGGGCAAAATAACTTATTTGGGTCCAGTTTAAGCAACATTAAATAAGTATTAAATAGAAGATAGTTTTAAGTCAGATTTAAGGATATTAAACATGACTTAAAAGCAAAGTTCATTTTAAGTGATGTTTACGTTTAAGTTAAATGCATATTAAAACTAGCTTTATATTTAAGATATATTTAAGTCACTTTAAACATCGCTAAATCACTGTAAGGATTTAATTACATTTAAGTCTTCTTAAATATGTCATTAAAAGGAATGGAAGATCTAAGACAAATTAAAGTCTTCTTAAATATATCATTAATTATAAATGGACTGAAAGATTTAAGACAAATTTAAGTCTTCTTAAATATATCATTAATTATAAACGGACTGAAAGATATAAGACAAATTAAAGTTTTCTTGGATATGCCAAAATTTAATACCAGATTAAGTCGTATATTATTGATTTAAAGGTAAAAAAATATTAAATCATAATTATTATTGAAATGATAATTTAATAATAATACTTTTATTATTTATTATTATTATTAAATCTTTTCCAGAATTTATTCCAAGTCCATTGAAGCCTCTTTTAAGCCTAGTTAAGTCTGCTACACACTCTTTTCCCCAATCCCTTACAAGAAATCATCCTTCTCCATCCATGAATACAATTGTACTGGCCTTTGGCTTAAAATTTTCTGCCGTTTTGGAATAAGGTGCACAAAAATCCAGCATATTATTAGAAGTCACTTGATCGTCTCCTTGAACGAACGCGCGAGCGAATGCGCGAAAAATATTCTACCACGCATGTCAAATCAGATATTGGTGACGTTAAAGGTACGTCAGCAATAGCACGCCGATCAAATGTCCACAGCTACAAACGCAGTATGTTTGATCACTGTTTTGACAGCGTCTTTATCAGTTCACTTCGAAAAGTTGTGGTGTTCGTTGCGAGCTTTTGCCCTGGTTTTTAGTATCGTATTTTACAACCGAATCATGGCTACATGCAGTCCTTCTCAAGAAAGACAGCTTGTGCTTGTGGAAAGTGTGAACAGGAGATTGGATTCATTTTTAGCGAGCCAGAAGAAACTGGAAGAAAAAACGCAACGCTTCAGCAAGAAAACGTCAAGTTGCGAACTGAACTCTCAAAACAGGAGAGACTAAATAACACCAAACGCGGCTCAAAACGTAAACGTACAGAATCCAAACTAGAAGTTCCTGTGGATTTAAGGGTAGGTTTACGTACTTATTTTATTGCTTTGATGTTAGAAACTTTTCATTGTGAGAGATCAGAGTTTGTACTTATTCTTTAGAGCTGACCGTGTGATAGCGTGTCTTCAAAGGCGCCGACATGCCTGTGTTGTAAAGCACCGCAGGAGCCTACAAACCCACATTGTCTTCCCCTTCGCGCCCAATTTTAGTATTTAAGAAGTGAGAACATATATTTAGAACATATATTTATTTCACCATTGAATAACACGAGATCGATGGAGAAAGTTGCTGTTGGAAGCAACCGATAATGATCGATGATGTGGTTGATCTCAAAGCAGAAGCCGTGAACAGGGTTATTGGTTATATGCTTCTGTTTCAATTTGCAGGGTTCGCACAGTCTTGAAAAGTCCTTGAATTTCATTTTTTCCTTGAAAAGTCCTTGAATTTTCTTCAACTTTGAATGTAGTAGCCTGGAAAGTGTTTGTTGATGCTTTTTGGTTGTCCAAGACAGAATATGAATCATAGCTCAAAGGATGTAAAGGTTATTTACACAAAATGCTCAATGTTTTATGCAATAATTAACTATCAATTTAAGACAAGTGAACTGAAAAATGTAAAGAAGTTGGTGAAGCAAACAGTTCAAGCCTTAAAGCCTTATTAGAATGGACTGGGAATGTGCATTAACTTTAAAAGTTGTTCATAAAATTGGAAATAATCCACTGTAAAATGTCATAGATAGGCTTCAGTTAAAATTGACTTATTACATGAATAAGGTCTTGTTTTAACTGAGGATATTTTACTGAGCCTTATCTTTGAAATTAACATACTGTTTTTGTCATAGTCCCCAGTCAGAGGTGAACCAGGACATCTTGTCTAAAATAAAAGAAGTTCTAAAAAAAGAACACAGAGGAGAAAATTTCCCATGGACTGATCTGCAAATGGAAGGTTTGTTGTTACATGAATGAGCCTGAGTATCTTATGAATAAGTGTGGAGATCGAGGAGGATGTTATCGGCCGATAACTCCCTCCGAGATCTCCATAATTCTTCATATGATATGAAGGCCAAATTCAAAAATTGTTTTATTATTCATTCAAAATAATTGCTAGTTTAAAAATGTAGCTAAAACATGCTTACCTCCATCAGTGTTAAGTTCATCTTCAATAGTGCACGTTTAGGGTTGTTCAGCTCCGCAAATAGCAGATGCCGCCCTTCGAGTTGTGTTCCTGCCATGTTTTTAGCTATTATTTTGCCGAGTTTTTACTCTTAAAAGAAGTGAAATGTCCTTAATTTTTTGTTTTCACCACCAAAACAACTCAACCTCTTCCCCTGGTCTTCTCGGCTAATGATACATTAACTCTCGGTTAATGGTACATTAACCTGCAAGGAAGTAGCACTTTTGACGTCATCAGTTGATTAAAACGACAATTCTTTCAAATTTGGTCATCAGTAGCTGGTTATGATGAATTATAGGTGTGCTTTTAGCCAATCAGAATCAGGGCAATATTTTGAATGAATAATAACAGGGGGTTCATTAAGGGCCGGGCAACGGGCAAATTGACCGGCTGTGAACACGACTTTGCCCGGCTGCTTTACATCTCAAAGAACTTCTTTTTAATACAAGGAATGATTATAAACAGTTTTAAGTTACAATCGTGCCCTATTCTTGATGAGTCTTATCGAGTGTAAAACATACTTTGCCGTGCAGTTTCCACTTTATTACGCGTGGCATGAAATCCCCTCGTTCGTTATGTGTTAAATACAAGAATCGCCCCATAAACACATTGCGAAAAGAACTGTACTTCATAAATGACCACGCGAAATGTATCAGGATTGCGAGCACATGAGCATGGCAGCCCAGAAAATTAACGCGTTCGATAGTGGATTATTTTTCGGCTTCAACCAAAGGGCCTCCAGTAGAGAAAAGGCCAAGAGGAGAGTAGACTTCTTTGTGATCTAACCTTTTACTTGCCTGTATATATTGAATGACTTAATCATCACGTTCAATGAAGCGAAGCGTGATTTTTTATTCGTCTTATGGTTTACGCCAATGAATTAATTTTCGGTGCGTTCACGTTAGAACAGTGCTCAGGACTCCCATCTAGTCATTGAAATTTTCAAGACAAGATGTTAAACTAATACTTTTGTGATTCACCTTCTAGCGAAAACTCTTGGTATCAAATCATTACTAAATTGTCTAGAAAAGTTATCTGTTTTTGGTTGTTGAAAGTCACTGTCTGCAGCTTCAAAATGCAGGAAAACACATCCCTGCAACTATACAATTTCAAAATTTTCCGGGGGAGCATGCCCCCGACCCCCCTAGGGGGGGAAGGCCCTCCGGGCCTTGCCAATTCTTTGCCCGGGTGTCAAACTCAGTTGCCCTCCTGTTCGAAACCTTAATGAACCCCCTGTAATAACACTTATTATTATATAAACACCAATAAAATACCAGGTGAGCTTTCACTTGAAAACTTGGTATCTTCACATGTGAAAATATCACCGTTGCCATGACTACATAATAAATCGCGCTTTTCACACCAAATTACTTTTAAAGTGAAATGGTTTGGTAGTTCATTGGTGTTTATATAATAAATAGAGTATTACATGGCCGCTTGAAGATACGAAATTTCTCTTCCCTTGTTGAGAAAAATAGCACTGCCTTTAGCTGAGGAATCAAGTTCTTGTCTGTAGAAGTTATGTACACTTACATGTACTAGTTCCTTTTCAACCCTAGGGGCCGTTGCTAAATTTAGATTTGAAGAAATCTCAGCAGGTTTTTTATAAAATGTTGCCTACTTTAAAATTTCTTTTTGCTAATTAGTGGTCTTTACGTCAACAGCTCAATTCCTTCGTTGCTTCAGAACGGTAAAGGAGAAATGTCAAAGAATAAAAAAAGGAAAAAATGAAGAGTACAAGCAGAGGTGCAAAATGAGTAGACATCTCACAAGTGTAAGTATAAGGAAGTTTTTTTTTCAAACATCTGAACATTGTCAAATATAAAAACTTTTTTTGATAATTATAAATGTGACCCTCCACAGGACTTTAATGCTAAAGGTGAAAGCACGCGCACGACACGCTTTCACTTTAAAACAAAAGAATTTATTTTAACACGCTTTAGCACGCTTGCAATCTTGCCTCATT